GCAGTAACTTCAGACATGATTCTAGGACAGGTGTATTAATAGATGTATACTGTTGTAACTGAAACATGAGACACAAAAATGAATGTTGTCCATTCAGAATTTTACAGCTGCAGCAGAGATTGAATTCTGGTTCAAAACCAGGGTTCCTTAACAGGACAAAGCAATATTGCCGGGATTACTTAGATACACAATTATATAGCATTTCACCACACCAGAAGACACTGTGTATTTTCTTATTTAGATCACTTACCTACACCCGTGTGTGTGTGTGTGTGTGTGTGTGTGTGTGTGTGTGTGTTTGTGTTTAGTGACTTATATTAAAACCACATCTAGCTTTTCTTACTCCAAATAACAGTCTCCTACGGCTTGAGTAGAAGGGAAACTGTCTTTCAGTTCACAGTAACTTTGGGCTTCTGACACATTTCAATACGAGCTGGGCATCTCTACACCCATTCCGTAAAGGTCCCATGGAGGCATGTACATATTGTTGATAACAAATAAAATTATTCCATTGTAGGTTCTTATACTTAAACCCATCACCATGATTATACAAAGTCCCAATTTCCATTCCAAGCCCTCCTGGCCACCCATTTTAGTGACTCATTAGTTACGCAAATATTTAAGTCAGTTGGCTTTGGGTTTTCTAAGTGACAAGTTCAGACTGACATTTTATAGCCATATAAAGTTTTTCAAGTGATGAACATTGGAACTTCTTTTAAAGCTGACTATACTTTTGATGCCTCCATTTTTCTGCATTCTCACTCATTTCTGTAAAACACCAGAGAAGTTAAGTACCAAATCCCTTAACATTTAATTCAGTGTTAAGACTGTGAACTCAAGCACCCCAAACTCGAGAAATTTAACAAGTCCAGATTCCTATGGAACACTTAGCTGGTTAGGAAGTGTGTCTGCAGAGTTTTCTATGCTCTAAGTTTAAAGTGTAATGTATTACAGTTTGTTGTTAAATGTTTCACAAACTTTACACAAGGCCAAGTGTTGTTGCAGTGCATGCTTGAGTACTTATGGTGACATCAGTAGAACCACTCAATGACTAAAACAATTGCTGCACCTGTGTGAGACTGCAAAATTACTGAAAACTTTTCACTATGCTGGCTTCTTTGTGTTCTGTCTCAGCCTTTATATTAATGATAGTTATCATATTGAATACGCAGTAGATATTTCCAACAAATGCTGTGGCTTCCTTTAATGTATTCTCTGCATGGTCATGCAGTAGAATTTCATTTTGTTTGAACTGTTGTTCTTGGACTTAGTTGGAAATGAAATCTAAAGACTTCCTGATGAGATATTTCTCTGCTTAAAGATTTTGAATTCTAATTTCCTTGCTTGCTATGTTGATTAAGAATGGGAAGAAAGGTCTCGCCTGTAAATATTAAATGCACATATAATGTGGTTGGAAAATGTTCTGAACAAGATTTGTGAATTAAAAAACTGACTGGTCCCATATGAAGTCCTGAAGATGGTGAACAGAGTCCAAGAAAAAATATTTTTTATTATGGATGATGGCACCATTCTTTGCAATTGATTAAAAACTCCCTCAAAGCTTAATTCAGATATCCTCATAAATAAGTATCATGTTTTGCAGAATAAGGTTGATTTGTGCTTCTGTACAGAAACTGTTGTGTAGTCCATATATGCAGTACACTGCTGTTAGGCATATGTGCTATACTGAAAGTTAGCTGTGGAGTACGGATCTATAAATAGGTGGCTGTTTCTGTTTATTAAAGGCAACTGTTGTATCCACTTCAGATTTTTTTTGCTGCTATAAACCAGTAATGACACTTTATATAAAGTGTCTTTCATTCCAGAGGATTGGAAAGCAGTTAAGAAGCTGAACTGTGGTACATAGCCAGGGTGCCACCTTCAAGAGTAGGTGAAAGTGGTAGAAAAACCACAATTCACTCACCTACTAGGCCCTCTGGTAGCTCCACGTAGTGCTGCAGAAGCATAGCTGCCTCACTACCAGCCATCATATGAGAGGACATAGCATCAGTTTTCCTCTCTGTGTAGCCAGATTGTGGAGCACAAGGACCCCAATAGCACCAGGTGGGGCTGCAGAGGGGCTACTTGCAGTATCTTTGCCCTCTTATTTTATTTAACCACTAGAAGATTTTACCAGGCGTTGCTCGGGTCCTTAACTCAATTTTTTTCCTTCTTTTAAATCATTGCCTTGGAGTGGGGCTGGGGATGAGGGGTTCAGAATGCAGACTGAATAACCCCAGCCCTCCCTAGGATTACTGGACACACTGGATCTCAGATTGG